GAAAAAAGAAATTAAAAAACTGTACTCGGTGCAAACTGTACCCAAACGTCTCAATAAAACGTATTTAAATATTGATATACAGAGACAAATCCGGTTGACTTGGCAGTTCTTGTTTGACTCGTTCCCCCATTGTTAACGTTTTTATGACAAAAGGGAGGCAATTCCTGATTCCAACTGGAATTACCTTTGGTTTAGTGACATCCAACACTGCATGGTTGAAAGTACATTATACATTTTAGATCTCAGATCTCAAGGTCTCAGGTATAATAAACACAAGTTGCAGTGTTCAAACAAGGTGTCAGAAGTTAAACAAAATTATCAGAGGAGACATGCCGATGAGAAAACAGCCTCAGGCATTACCAAATGAACTGACTCAATGTGGCGCCCGTTCATCAAGGGAACTTGCAGTGTTCAAACAAGGTGTCAGAAGTTAAACAAAATTATCAGAGGAGACATGCCGATGAGAAAACAGCCTCAGGCATTACCAAATGAACTGACTCAATGTGGCGCCCATTCATCAAGGGAACTTGTCATCCAGTGGCAAAGATAGGCAAACTGGTAAAAATAAAGTAGATGTAAAATAATTAATGAACTAACATCCAAGACTAACATCTGTGAAGTTTGAGGAGATTCCCCTTATGGTACAGGCAGTCAGGGCTTGTTAGCAATACATGATATCCAGTCATGGCCAAAAATATTGCCACCCCTGCATTTGTCAGATAATGCATCACTTCTCTGAGAAAACTGTTGCAGACACAAAGTCTTTCATATTTCTGTTTGCACTACAACAACACAAGAAAGCAGAGGAAAAAAACCAAACCTGATACATCCCACACAGAACTCCAAAAATGAACTGGACAGAATTATTGACAGAAATCACACTTGCAACCAGTTAGAATGGAGAAAAATTGACTCAACCTTTGTGTCGTGGACCACACTGAGCATGGAGAAAATAAAGAAGAGCAAACAATTGCCTGAGGATTTGAGAACCACAATGGTGGAAAAGCCTGGGCAATCTCAAGGCTACAAGTCCATCTCCAGAGATCTGGCTGTTGCTGTGTCCACTGTTTGCAACATGGTCAAGAGGTTTACAGCCCATGGTGCTGTAGCTAATCTCCCTGGACATGGAAACAGACAAACAGATGACAGATTGCAATGAAGGAATGGTGGATAAAGAACCTTGATCAACTTCCAAACTAACTCAAGCTGATCTGCAGACACAGGGTGCAACACTGTCAGCTCACACTATCTGTCACCATCTGAATGACAAGGGATGATATGGTGAGACCCAGGGGCCTCCACTGCTGGCACAGAAACATAAAAAAGCCAGACTGGAGTTTAAAACTTACTTGAGGAAGCCACAATAGATCTGGGAGAATGTCCTGTGGACAGATGAGACAATCATTCTGCTGTTTTCAGAAAAGGAAATGAGGCCCTCAAAGAAAAGGACATGGTCCCTACAGTCAGATAGTGGAGGTTCACTGATATTTTGAGGTTGCTTTGCTGCTGCAGACACTGGATGTCTTGACTGTGTGTATGGCTTTATGACATCTGAAGACTACCTGAATTCTAGGGCGCAATGTAGGGTCAGTGTCAGAAAGGTGGGTCTCCGTCAGAGGTCATGGGTCTTACAGCAGGACAATGACCCAAAGCAGACTTCAAAAAGCAGAAATGTTTCAGACAATGCGCTGGAGAGTTCTGAAGCGACCAGCAATGAATCCAGCTCTAAATCCCACAGAGCTCCTGTGGAGAGATCTCAGAACAGCAGCTGGGAGAAGGAACATTTCAAGTCTGAGAGACCTGCAGCAGCTGGCAAAGGAAGAGTGGGTCATTCGGTTTCTGGTATTTTTTTTCAACTCTTCATGCACAGTGATGTCTACAATAACACAAAAGATGTGCTATAACCCATTGAGATACAGGTATGAGGGGGGAATGTTTAACAGGACAGGGAGTTGTGCTCCCATCTGTGCCATGGGTCTCTCTGATGATGCCGGTTTGTGGGTTGTTCTTTATAATCAAATGCAACTCAACAGCACTGCAAGCTACATCCTTTAAGATGATCATAAATCTGACAAAACACCTCTCTAAAACAGATTCAACAATATAACCTTCAAGAGGGTAGAATGCATTATAGGACTGTTGTATTCGACTGTATTAATAAACTAGCAGCTAGCTGTATTATGGTTTTGTGGAAAGAGCCAAAATCACATTGCTCATATTACTCACTTAAAAAGCAATTAATAAAGTGTCTAATAATCTGCTCAAGGTGTAATAAAACATTTGTAGACAAATGTATAGGACCCAAAATGGAACCTTGTGGCACACCACAAGACAGAGAAATCACTGGCGGCACAAAGGTAAAAACAGACATGAGAAAAAAATTCTCTCAGATGGAAGGCCTTTCCAAATATAACCCACCCCTGCCCCAGGCCTCCACCCTCACCACACTTTGTCAGAATGTAGTAATGAAATGTAGTGAAAGCTGTGCTGTCACCTACTTTGTCAGCAAAAACATGCCTCATCATGTCACTGCAGACAGCAGAGTTGTTTCAATGTGGTGCCTCCAATTCGAACCAGATTGAAACTTAACAAGGACATTTTTTGCACCCAAGGAGCTATGAATTTTATAGTCAAATGTAGTCAAGAACTGAGCAATTTTTTAATAATCACACCTGAACAGTTTACAATTTATTTCAAAAGTTATTTTTTGTATAATACCTACCCTCTTCTTGACTGGCATCCCCACTGACCTCTACAGTTTGCCTTTCAGGTGGTAAGCCTGCAAGTTATAGTCCTTTATGTTCCTTTACACCAATTAGACACTCATTTAAACAGAGAAAATGTAATCATATTATCATTGCTTCTAATACAATTATATCAACAGTAATAATAACCACAAATAATTTGAGCATTTTGAGAATATGACAAATATAAATATAAATCACCTAAATCAATTATTGTTGACACATTCATGAAAAAATCCCCCCAAAATAAACACACAAGTGTGCTTTTATTAAATAAAAAACAAATTACAATAAGACAATTATAAATAACTTAATATAACACTGGAAATTTTATCTCAGCATGTCACTGCAAATTTGAGAAAAGTGGTTAATAAATAAATTTACTTTTTGATGTTCTACTAATTCAAAGGGATGAGTGATATGTGAATGGTCTGCCACCCATTTAATTGCAGGAGTTAAGACAGCAATGATTTACATCATATTATAATTTAATGTTCATATTACACAGCTGATAAGTTGATGTAAGTTGTAGTGATGTACGGACACAAGCATGCACGCATAAACATTTCTAAATTTCTGCTTGAAATCCTCTGACTGCACTAAAATCACAGACAACAATTAACTTTTTTTGCAGACAATACATTTCACATAAAAAAATCACATAAATGCATATGATTGCATGATGATTCAACTTAAAATAAAAATATAAATAGATACTGAAAGCTTGAATTACTTGTATGTTTGGCATCTTTGTGCTCTACAGCAGGCAGTACATGGTAGCACATTATAAATGTTGAGTTCCTGAAGAAAACCTGGTAAACATGTTTACAAGTTAATGCACGTTGAGCGGATAATATTCTTGAAGCTTCTTGTAAACCGGATCTGGAGAGGTGTATTAGTTATAGATACGAAATAAATATTTACCAAAAAACATCAGCAGTTGGACTGTCAAATCAGGTCCCAATGCCTACTTCCTGTTGTACTGAGTCATTGCTTTAATGTGGTAAAGTGCTTCCACCAAGTGGTGAACAGCGGGAATTAAACTTTAAACTGGCATCAACACAAATTACTGATCTGCAGGAAAATACTGCTGTCATCTTCAGGTCAGCTGTCTGCTATGCTCACAAATACTTTGCATGGCAGAAGACATAAAACTAAAAATAATAATAATTTTCAGTTTTTGGCTCACCTGTCATCTGATATATCAGGCTTACAGGGATACACAGCTACATTGCTGTAGTTTTATTGATTACATTAGTGAATTTATTTTCCTTTAGGTTGGGATTTTTTAATGAATGGTCTGTAGATACAGTGATGAGAAAAATGCATTAATTCAAGCAAGTATAACAGATAAAAATAAAACTTCAGAGCAAAGCCTATTGGTTTTTCAAACACTATTTTACACTATATATAAGTTACTCTTATTACGCTTGTACTGTATAAGAAATTAGATTTTTATGGCAGTATTGGCCATGCTACTCTTTTACTACTTAGTAATACAGGTGAAATTAAATGCTACAGGCTTTTAGATAAACATTAAAATTGGGTGCATGCTGTCCATTTAGATGGCAGAATACATCACAAAGTCAGTCTGAATGAATAATAATAAGATTCAACTGTAAAAACACAATTTATTTAAATAATTATTCTCCAGTTCCAAAATAAGAACATAGTCATCCAGTGCAAATTAACACAGCGCACTGGACAACCCCACTGCAGTGTAACAAAGCATATTAAGCTACACTGTTCCAAACTCTTCAGCATGTTTGCGCTACTACAGTGAATCAAGGAATCTCAGAATCTAAAATATGCACTCTCTAATCATACACATAATGCCAGAAATGTATTTTCATATGTGATAAGCTGTCCATTTTTGTATACAGGTCTGCAACCATAAAGTCAAACTTAAACAGGGTGAATGAACATTAGAGATATTTCATTCTTTTGGTGGTGAGGGCAGCTGCAAAAGAAGACCACAGCTTGTAGCTCTTGTTAAGCTCTCCTGACAGTCACAGGGATTCTTTTGTCAAATGAATTGCTGCTACTGAGACATTTAACAATGCACTTTGTATAGACTCAGCTGCAGAGTGGGTTCATGTAAGCAAGTCATGGGTAAATCATTTCAATTGTCTAAATTCAGACATCAGTTTCTACACAACACTAAAACCTAAAAATCTGCCTTACACATAATAACGTGGCACTTTCTAAGCACATAAATACCTGGATGATGATAGATGACAATGCACTGGCAGTAGATAAAGTATAGTAGTAATTTTTAATGGCACTAAGTCTCAGGGTGGGACTGTCCTTTCAGACAAGTATTAAAGAAGTGACTTGGGTTTGATATGTGTATGTGTCAAGATGATGAGGAGAAGTAAATGAATAAAAGGATGGGTGAAGTCTATAACCAGACAAAGTGATAGAATTAAATTACACAGATTTTTACAAAGGTGAATGTTTCCTCGCATGCAGTGATGCTGTGGTTCCCATGACTACAATATACTACAGATTTACCTATCAGCTTCATTGCACTGTCTTAAAACTGCTCCCCTGACTGACTACAGGTTGCTTTCTTGAGTGTCGCTGGAGGATATAGGGTGCAGGCCTCCATTCTCATTCAGTCTCTTGGCACGGTAAGTTTCATAGTGAATGTTATGAGTTACCTCCTTCAAATCCTGGAGGTGAGACCTAAGTAAGAGGGATACAGAATCACAGATGGGGCATGTCACTAGTTATATATTTTATATATTTGAAACAGGGTGGGCACTATTGTGTTTTACATTTTACTGAGCTTTATGATTCACTGTCATGCAGTGCTAAAATCCTGCCAATTGCAAAAGAATGACTGAACACTGGAAGCCATCTGAACCAATGGAAATTTGCAAATTAGTAAAATGTATGAAATATACCTTCTTAGACACATTCTTATTTTCATGTGTCAGTTACAAAAATATATATTTATGTTTAAGAGTTGAAATAATGAGTCAGTTAATTAATCAGTTGATGGACATAAAATTAATTGGCAACTATTTTGAGTGTAATTTCTTTGCCAAAATGCCAAAAACTTGCTGGTTCAAACCTCAAAAACTTGAATATTTGCTGGTTTTCTTAGTCTTTCATGATAGGAAACTGAATGTCTTTGAATACTGTAGTTAGACCAAACAATAGCTTTTAACATGTCTCTTTTAAAAGACAATGAAAATAATCATTATTTTTATCTCCCCCCAAGTCATGTTATTGTTAAATACTATAATGCAGAGAACATTTCCCAATAGGGCAAATCCCATTGTTTCTAATTGCTCCTTGATTCCAATTCGTTGCACTGCTTTGGTATTTCAATAGTCTATTTAAAACTATTTTACCTGATCAGGAAATCTCTCAGCTGTGCAAACTCACAATGGTTGGGATTTTCAACTGAAACAAACAAACAAACAAACCAAATACTTGAATCAAACACAGGCCCTTTACTTGAGCCCATCAATATTATTTCTGTGGCAAAGGGACTGACAATGTTATTTATCAAGAAAGGCCAAATCACGCACCTTCTACAATTCCCCACGCCGTCTTCCTCCCCAGAACTCGCTTGCCATTCACTTGATATTCTTTGTCGCTGCCCACCACAGCAAAGGGCATTGCCTCCTATTAACAGAGAAATTTTAACATGGTTCAGTGTACTGAAGAAATGAAACTAATACAGAACATGTACCAGAGTGTGAGAGAGAGTGGGGTAAACTGGGAGAAAAGGAGAGGAGCTTCGCTTGAAGAGAAGCAAAATCAAGAGACAAAGGTGTCTGAAAGAACAGAGCTTCTTACTCTGATCTTGTCATTGTCACTCTTGTCCTCCATGTCCTCATCAAACTCTTTCTGTGGATAAAATTCGATTCCGCTCATCTCCAGCTCCTTCCTTACCTATAGTACAACACAAATCCAGGAAAACAAACATAAAAACAACAACAACAAAAAACTCTTTATGTGACACATCTTCATTTGAGCCATATCTTTAAGTCATATGGATGCCACGATAAACCTGCATGAATGGATTTTTGTCTTGGCCACTTAGGGGCAGCAGAAACAAGCTGTAAAATCAAAATTGTCATTTCATCACCTTGTTGAGTTGGCAGCCTCACTAGCAGACACTGGCTCATTTACACATTCAGCAGACAGGAAGCAGCATTAGCATTAATTTGGAGTCATGTTTCTGACCCCCAGGCAAATGTAACTCCAATAGTCAACTCTGTGTGTTTACAGAACATGTGCTGGATGTGGAAACAATGTTAATGACCAAAACAATTACTTAAAAGATGTAGAGCTAAGGGGAGTAGGTGACAATTCTCCACAGCTTTGCACTATAAGCAACCCTTTCCACATTACAAGTAGTCAGTGATCCAGTGTTAATATAAAAATATTAACTGAAGCAGCTTTAAGGACCAAGTTCTGTGTAGACTAGGACATTTAGAAGTTGAAATAGAACTTGCCATGCTCTCTAGTGGCCAAACAATGTGATGGGGACACTTTTTCTAGGTTACCTAAAACATATCTGACATTTCTGTACTGATATTTCTTGTTTAAATAGGATATGACACACATAATGATACTAATACATCTGCAGTAAGCAAATATCCACCTATGGGGCCAACCAATTCATTGTCTAGTCTAACTGGGATGATTGGGAATCTTCAGTGAAACTCACCCGCTGTTTGAAGTCCTGCCTCTCCTCAATGGTCATTGTGTCTGCTTTGGCAATGACAGGAATAATGTTAACTGAGTGACTCAAGCGCTTCATGAACTCAATGTCAAGCTGCCGAAGACTGAGAGAGAAAGAACAGAAAAGACTGATAAGGAAAGTGAATTAAGGGATTCTCCCAGAAGGCTCATATGCAACAGGGAAAAGACATTCAGGATCTCCAGTAATGGCAGGAGGATCAGAAACTTTATTTGTCATGTTTCATATGTCTCATTACCTTTCCCTGGAAGCAATTACAAATGATTTACAGCATGAATGCTTTTGAAAAGAGGATTTATCATAAGACAAAGGTTGCATCCCAGTTCTTGTTTCCTTGCACATAAAACATCCTGTCCGTCTCAATTACCCCATCTAAAAAGGATGAGCTACATTGGCTGTAATACACAAAAGACTGTAACTATTTATCCATTAAAGAGCAATTTCACAGTTGCCAGCTGGAGCTAATTGGGGTGTTCAGAGAGAAGAGGTGTGCATTGTCTGCAATATAAAATAGCACACTTGATATAGAGCTTTGTTAAAAGCATGCTTTTCTGTGTTTTCTGACTTATCTGCAATGTTACAACAATGAATTATCATCTTAAAAGTGACTGAAAGCTCAAAAAAACTAGGTGTACCTATGTTGTACTTCTATGCAAAAGCCACTTGGTTTATACAAGTCTCGCAAACTCTCACTGGCGAGACTTTTTTCCAACTATGTAAAGTCTTATGCAATAGTTTACGAATTTCCTTGAATGGTCATAATCTCCAGGCAGTTGCATGTTCATGTGAGCTTGCCTGAGAACTACCAGTGCCATTGTTAAAGTGGGATTTTTTGACTGTGCCTGGTTTTGTGGACATATTTTCCCTCCTGCTGCTGCACTGTGACAATAGGGTGTAGAGAAAAATACAGGTTACTGCTGTCAGGGTTGGAGCGTGAAGCTGCCAATAATGTCATGGGTGAACTTAATTAAATTGCCAGACGAGGATACGTAACACAACACCGTCTCTTTAATAAGAGCAATGATACTGAACAAAAAAAAGACACAAGACATGGTTTAAACACGAAACGGATTTACAGGTCGATAATACAGTCCAGGGTCAAAACCAGTAAACACATACATCCAAGGAACCCAAACTAGATGTCCAAAAAGGGAAGTCTGATAAGCCGATATACATAGAAGCAGTCCGAGTTTGAAGGGAAAGGCAATATACGGTGGTCAAAAACAGTAATCCAGGGTCAGAAATTAGAGAGTCAGGTAAGGATTAATGCTGGAGAGTCAGAACTGGAGTCTGGAACAATCTGGCAGCATTCTATTGAGGAAATGCTGCCTTTATACTGGTGGACACAGTGCGAATAATCAGAAGCAGGTGAAACTAATGTGAGTGATGATTAAAGTAAAAAGACCAAAACTGTGGTGAAACAAAAACAGGAAGCAATGTCAAAATAAGAGCATGACAGGAAGCAAACGGAATCGAATCATGACAACTGCATGTCCGGGACTGTTCATGTACAGGGACTCGCTGTTTTACTTGACTGGGTCTAACCTACAAGCAGCCGGCCTGTGAAACACCCTGGGGCAGTGAATGATCAGGTCATCAATGCTGGATTCCCCTAGAGCACAGTCAGATAGGATTTGAGGCAACCTTGGGGGTTGCTGCTTGGATTAAATATTTAGACCATTACATAGCCATTGATGTGTCAGCTGTTAAGTATTTACAGACAGTGTCAAAAGCTATAGACACAAGCTAACATGTTGGCTTTCAAATGAAGAATGTGCCCAGTGACTGTGAAGAATTCTCTACTGAAAGCTTTTTATACCTCCCTGGACACTACCCACCTGCAGCATTGTTACAGAAATGGCATCATATTGATTCATCAGCTATGTTCACATTACAGGCCTTAATGGTGAAATCCTTTTTTTTAATCATTTTGCAATGATGGCTCCCTTCATGTTTGTAAGTGACATGTATCTGACTTGCTGTGAACACAAATGAACACAAATGAGGTACTAAACTGCCATGACAAATATACAGTATGTCTGGCTGACAATGAAAAGTACGAATCACTGGCATTCCAGCCTCCACATATTTGATTGTTGTGAATGTTTTGTGTATGTAGTTCCCCCCAATTCGTTGTGTCTGAATTGAAATTTCAGCTAATCTGATTACTCATTTCTACTTCTGGTAAAGTTGAACTCACGAGTGTCCAGTTGGTGAGATGAAATAGAGACAGCAGTGCACCCTGGTGTCAGGGATGCGTTTCTTTCTGGTGATGTTAACTTCCTCCTTTAGGAATTTCTCATACTGCTCATTGATGAACTTGGAGATGGGATCCCAGCTGAGGATACAAGAGAAAGGTCAGCATGGGAGAAAAAGATTCCTTAAGAAAGAAAAGTAGCTAAACAGTTTACTCATGAAGGGCCACTTTCAATTAAGTTTTTGGAACTAAATGCATCGATAACTCCTAAATAAAATACCGCAAGGTGGTAAGAGAAAAATCATTCCTGGTAAAAATAAGGCAATAATAATGACATTAATGATCTATTGATATAAGAGTTGGAAAACCCACCAGTTGTCATTATTGATTAGGTCTCCAAAGCCTGGTGTGTCAACAACCGTCAGTTTCATTTTCACACCACCCTCCTCGATGACTGCAAAAAATCAATGCGCAAAATAAACCACAGCTGTTGCTCTGTGTGTGGAAATACTATACATTTTATGCAGCTGATCTGTATTTGATGTACCTTTGATATTTGACACAACACACTGAACAAATATTTATATTTGGAATAATCAGATAAGAAGCATTTAAGATACAAACAGAGCAAATAGTATAAAGTGTAAATAATCATGATTTTTCATATCTGTATTGGAATTACATTTGCCCCTCCTCAGATATGTGTCTCTCATAGTGTCTTTTAGTGGCAAGGGTATTATAATGTCAGGTCACTGTCAACTGCAGGCAATGTGTGCATGTTCATGTAAACTACAGCAACCAGACACTGAGCCTGGTCCCTGGTGAAGGTAAATCACAAAGGATGTATGTAAATACCAGTCCTAGATGGCATAATGAACACGGTACTGTGTGCAAAATCCTGAAGAGTTTCCTCTGATTTTATAAGTGGCGTGCATAGCTGTCTGCCCCTCTGACAGATTTGATACTAAAACTGGGGGAGGAGTGCCACAGTCATATGCGATGCAGAGGGCTTTTAATAGGAGTAATTTGCTATGAATTCTAGGTCATTAGGACTAGTTTCAAACCGAAATCACAGCTGTCTGTCACTGCTACTTCAGTTCATTCTAACAGAAAGCTTTCACAGTTACCTCTGTGTTTTATAAGGGAAACTCAGAAATGAGTGAAACAACTCTGACTTCTTGCTCTACAACACTGTTTGCGAACCACAAAGTGCGCTGTGTTTTACTTCTTTGTGCCAGTTGTCAGCAGGAGTCATTGACTGTTACCATTAAAACACAGCTCTTAGATCTGACACTATCTGGAAGTATGGTAACATTTTAGACTTCAGATTATCATTATACCGTGTTTAACTTGTATCAGGTTAGACAAAGTAAGGAAGCCTGACTCTATACACTAGTCTCTCATGCCTTGTGTCCCTGATAAGAAGGGTGTGAAAAGACTTGTTTACCAACTGTAAAGCTTTGTGTGTCTCATCTGAGATGCCCTATTATAATGGAAATGTACCAGACAAACATTAATGAATAGATATGTTAACGTATTCACTCTGAGGAAGCAGAAAAACATCTGCAAGACAAAGGTTGTGTGAGACACAAGAGACAATTTCAAAAGTCTGTTGTATGAAGTCAAAAACAAAGCAAAGTTGGGATGCACCTACAGTATGTGTGAGAGCAAACACAATCTGGGCTGAAGGTGAATACAATTTCTCTAGCTCTGTGTTACACAAACATCTTCCCTCCATTATGAACATCTCAACAGAAAAGGATGGATTAATTTGCTTGAAGTAAAAGCTGTCAGTGTGAATCTGTAGGTCCAAGAACAACTAGTCAGTTTTACCCGTAAAGGAGACGTATTATAGAAATATGGCCAAGCTATTAATTAGTGGACATCAAGACTGATAATTTATCCAAACAAAATGCTATACATCACTACTGATGCAGAAGTATGGTAATGTAAGAAAATCCTTATTTTATTTCAAGATTTATTATGGTAAGATAAATTTAACTTGACTACTATTTAGGTGAACGGGGCATAATATAGTAGCTGATTTTAATTACAAATCCCACATCCTGTATTAACCTTTAATGTTGTGCATCATTTTTTATGTCGACAGCCTACCAGTTACTGCTGGTCCCTGTCATTTGAGAGCCTCATATCACCCTAGCCTTGCAGTAGTCTCTCTTTTTTGAGTGGGCTACCAGTTATAACAGTAGGTAGACAGTCACAGTAAACAAACGATCAAAAGTCCTCACACAGAGTACGTGCAGGAGATGCAGAAGTTGGCCTGTGCAACCATTAGCCCAGCTGGAAATAAATGGCAGGCTCTCTTGGCAGCCCCCTGGGTGCACTGATCGACTGTATGCAGGTTATGTAAGACTTTTAAGAACACGGTCAATTTAAATGCAACTTTAAATTTCTGGTTCTAAAGAAAGAACAGGGGCTCTGTCTCTACTCACCATGAGACACTGATTTGATCTCCACAGTTTTGGGGATCTTTTCATCACGGGCCCATCCTGTGCTCTTCCTGCTCACCTGGGACTTGAATAAGGTGTTCACAAGAGTTGACTTTCCCAAACCACTGTGACCTGAGATGACAAGGAGGGGAAACAACTGTTAGAGAAAATGATAGATGTGTCCACGTGTCAAGAAAAAATGTCCCAAAAATCTTGCTGTGACTTACCTACTACCATGATATTGAAGTCAAAGCCCGTCTTCATGGTCTTCTTCCTCATCTGCTCAATGATGGAGTCAATACCAATGTACCCCAGCAGAGTGGATCCCCCGCTAGAGCCGTGAGAGCCACCATGACCATGAGCCCCAACGTGGCCCACACTGTGGCCCAAACTATGAGTGCCTCCATGGCCTGGGCCATGACTCCCAATGGGAACTGGAATGCCGCTCGGAGGAAGAGTGGAGATGCCACTTCCCCCTACAATGCCACATTTGGGGGCTTGGCAGGGACAACTGGTTTGGGTCGCACTTCTGGAGGAACTATGTCTGACATGTCTACAGAGCAGATAGAGAGGAGGATAATAATATAAGTTTTCATGACCAGAAAAGCTGCCAAATCAATAAGAAGTAGGACACTAGAGAGGCTGAGGCCTCTTCTCCCTGTGTTCTACATTGAAAAAACTGGTTGCTGTGGTAGGCTTAGGGAACTGGTTCACCCAGATTACTCAAATATAATGTATATTTTCTCACATACATCTAACAACACAAATCATGTTGATGTTATTTGCTTAGGTTCAGAGGTATCTTTGGCTGTCCCACAAAAATTCAAAACTATCTGCATGGCTTTGACATCTCTGCAGGTAAGCAAGAAAGTACACTTTTATAAACCAGGCATTCAAGCAAAGCAAATAGTACAGCAGACGGTAAGAGTAACAGACATGAGGCTGAGCCAAGACGCTGTTAACCTTGGCCTTAAAGGGTGCACAGACAGAACAGCCCGCTGCTGAACTTTAAGACCAGTCACAGTCATAGATACAGGTCACTGAGGCAGTGACTGTCACTTTGATTCACAACAGCAGCCCTGCTCCCCTCTCTTCCTGCCCTCTCGCTCTTAAGTGCCTTCACTCAGAGCCGGGGCCAGAAGGGTGGACAGGGGGTGATGCTGCCTCCCCCAAATATTTGTTTGGCCCCCTTGGTGTCCCTCTACAGAGGAGAGGGAGATAGGTAGTTGGTTTGTAATTATCATGAAAGGAGTATTCAGCAGGCCTACTGGGTCCAGACGTAGAAGTCATGGACCAGAGGTGAAGCGACTGTTTACAACCATTCTTGTTGGAAAATCAATCAAACAACCACACAAAGATGCAAAACAACCACAACAAATACACACAAATCCATAAAGCCACACAAAGAAACTTTGTATAAAACTATGTAGTTGTTTTCTGTCTATTTCACTCTGTCTTTCTTCTATGTAGGAGGGGTGGGAGCCTTTAAAATGACTCAACATTAGAGCTGCAGCAATCAGTTAGATGAAAAACAATTAACTTAATTATTTTGATAATCAATAGATTGTTTATGTAATTTTAAAACAAAAAACAGTCAAAATGTCACACTTCAATGTGACAATTCAGTACATTTCGTGGTTTTACAGCACATTAAATGGAATATTTTGGGGTTCGAACTCCTGGATGGACAAAATAAGACATCTAATGACAATAATAATGACATTAATGATACTGTGCTCCTGGAAATTAGGATGGGAATTTCCCCACTGTGTTCTTGTGTTTTCAAACCTACAAACAATTAATCACAAAATTTCTTGAATCAATTAGTAATTGAAAATAACTGCTAGATGCAGCCTTACTTAATACATTCATGGTCATTTTACAAATGCCCCCCATTCTTTAAGACAGTACACTGGTATGCCCCCCCCCCTTATTCAAAACCTTTTAAACGCGCCTTTGCTTCACACATGCACAAGCAGAACATGCACAGATCAACAGATGTGCAGAATTATTCCAGCGTTAATTTTGAGCTAAATCCTGCAGGCAAATCACGCGTGAACACTGAAACAACTACAAAAGCTCCGGTGGCATGAAAACTGCGACCTGTTTCTCTGATTAAAGATCCATCATAGTGTCGAGCATAGCTTTTATCCGGTTTTAACACAACACACAAGGTTAGCTCCATCACAGCCCGTCGACCCCATTGTCTCTCTACACTCGTGCTGGATAATAACAGCCAGCGGCTGCTCCTTGTTAGCTGCTAGCTACGGTCCGCTAAGGGGCGGCTCGGCTGCGTTGATGTGCCGTCACTCCCGTTCAACTGACCTGCAAATCTGCTCGAGGAGACAACAAGCTTTTTGTTGACTAGCTGGTTTAATCTCGCTCTGGGTCCAAGAACAAACGATGTCTATCCAACACAGAAATAATACTAAGGGGAGCGGTCATGTGATGAGTCTGGGTACCTTCCTTCTGGTCGTTAGCCCCCCTTCTTCGTTACCAAGGCGACAAGTGAAGAGGGCATGGGAAGATGCAGCGCGCATGCGCAGTCTAACTACCTCAAAGCCCCATTTATTTGCTAGTGTCTTCTGTCAATGATACAGAAGTATAATTAAGTCAAAGGTGCAGAAACAGAACTCAGTTCTTCTGAACAGTGAAACACGGATGGAAGATGTGCTGAGATCTTTTACTGAAGCAGTGGCAGAATAAGTAGTCTTGTGGTATAAAAGTGAAAAAACCTAAATATATACAGTATATGTTTTCAGTTCTACATGTTCTTGTTGTGTTTGTTTCTGTGGAGAGCTGTTTTAGCACATCTTCATGTACTAGTCATTTTGATAGAGTCTGATAACCAACACTGTCACATCTCTCCTCAGCATTTCTGTTACTCTACTGATAAGCAGCAGTGTCTGAAAGTTCCTGCCCCTTATATAGACCGTTATTTTACTCCTACCCTAAACACTTTAAAAAATAAAATATGAAAGAATATTGTTATGTACACTCTGATGAGTTTGTTGACTCCGTTAAGCGGTTTGGATAGCTTTATACTCACCCACATACACTGAACCAGGATAATACATAGTGACGTAATAGGGGTCCTCTGGTTCCTCCGTGATAAATGCTCTTTCTGCTAGTGAGCTGCTTGGTTGGCTTGGGGGAAAGGACGCTGTTGTTGTCCCTCCTGGCATCTGGTACACTCTGTGCTGTGGCTGGGATGGCACAGGCGGCGGCCAGCTTTTCTCTGAGGGATATTCTAGGAGCTTTGCTGGCATGACCCCATGGCCAGGAGGTGCAAACATATTTATTTGACTCAGTTCCATGTTGGCGAGTTTCACAATTTTGTGGTTTTTAGTTTCCCCAGGAGATTGCTGGTGATATAATGGCTGTGTTTGTGATATGATGTCAGATTCTGAAGAGCTTTCAGCTTGTGATGTGTTGCACTCAACAGAGGCAGGTTGGGAGGCCTCCTGTGTTTGAGGTACCACCAGATATGTCTTAAGTCGATTTAATCTGTGTGCACCTTGGGAAGCCTCCACTGTTTGGTCGATGTCTCTTGACCTGCAGCTGTAATCCTTTGAAACACACTTGGATTGACTTACTGTGGGTTGCACATCAGCCTGGGCAGTTTCACTCTGGGCCGTCAACCTGTGTCTCTGGGGGAACTTGATGTTTTGTGATGTGTGTTGAAAGAGTTTAGATGAAAAATTTCGTGTAACTGTCTGTATATTGTTTTCTTCCTGAGGTCTCCTGAGATTAGATGCTGATTGAAATGTTGTATCTGCTTTTTCTTCATTCTGCACATCAAATCTTCTTCTCCTTGTCTCGATACTGGGTGATAGAGATGACTGACTCAACAGAGGCTCTGTAGAAAATGTTCTTTTAGGAGTCACTGGTAAAGCTTCACTTCTCTTGGAAAACATTTGTTCATAGGACTGATGTTTGGAGACAAAACCTGCAGTTTGATTGTGACGCATATTCTGAGGAGATTCTGTACATGTTCTCTGAAGGTGTGACTGAGTGGTCAATCCATCAAACACTGACTGGGATTTTCTGTGACTAACATTAACAGGCTTAATCTCATCAGAGTCTGAAAAAGATGTTTGCATACCAGCCACTCCACTTGGCAGAAATTCCTGTTTAGGTTTAGGGATTGCAGTAAAGTCTAAACTCCTCTGCAGAAGCTTTTGTTTATCTTTTGAAATATCCTCTTTTTTGCTTAAACCAATTTTGGGATTCTCATATATGCCTGCTTGTGTCTGGGACTCAGTTTGAGTCTGATGTTGAGACTCTCTGTTCATCATGGGACAGGATCTTCTCAATCGAGGATGTGTAAAATCCAGTAAAGCTTCTTGGTCAAGAATGTCATGCCTTTCCTCATTTGAGAAACGTTGTTTAGGCTCAGTTTTAATATTTGAGATGGTAATCGATCTAGCACATCTTTCTTTAACAACAGGAGAAGGCTGCTTGACTTCTTTACCATCTAAACCCATCCCTTGACTCAGGGATGTTGGAGAAGGACTCAGTCTAGGTGTCGGGACAGTCAAAGTTGGAGATACACTTGGCTTTGGCTGGTGCACTAACGGAGAAAGATCATCCAGCTGCGAGGTGGGAAGATGAAGAGAATCACTTGGCTTTGGTTTCAGAATAGAAAGGGTGGGAGAGGAATTTGGCTTTGGAGCAGGAAAGATGCTGGGCTTCACAGAGAGAGTTGGAGAGTATGTCTTGGGTTTGGTCCTTGGGAGGGTTGAAGCTCTTTCTCCATGGTTTCTTTGAAAATGCTGACATGATTTACTGCAAGAGGACTGACTGGATGTTTTAGAGGAATAAATTGGAACAAATGACCTGGAGCCAAAAGAGGGAAGAAAAAAACTGCTAAATGAAGTCAATACAACATTGATAGTATTACATAACACATCAACCTGAGCTACAACATTAGCTACAGTTCAGTTTAACTTGACTTACTACCTGTCAGCCGTTGTCTGTTTTGTGTTTTGTTTTTCACAGACGAGACCCTTCTGATCAAATGACGGAATTTGAATTGGTTTCTTTTTGATGACAGGAGAAGAAAGCGAGACAGGAGGTGACAAGCAGACTGATGGAACTTCCTTTGTTTGTCTGGAAGACACAGATACTTGAGGGATCAGAGGTGCCAGACGGTCAAAAACGCTCATCTTGTTTTAGATAAGCTGGGAGGAAAGAAATGAAAAGAAAAATCGGGTTGTTAGACAAAAATTGGTGTTGATGAACATTATGTCTATAAACACTGTCTACATTATAAAAGGTTCCAGTAAAATATTCAGTCTTAAGTAGAAGTTACAATAACACAGTGTAGCCTACAAATACTCTGTTACTTGTAAATGCATTTCAAAGTTGGAGTAAAAGTATTAAAGTCCTTTTAGCAAAATGTGTTTAAAGCAACAACAATTATGTAGAAAAACGGCCTCATCTGTGTTATATTGTCATATTTAATTTTACTGTATTGTTAATACTAATGCACTGATGAGTGGATAGGAGCTTACTGTAGTAGTTATGTGAGGCTGAGTTAATCTTACCTACTTTGTAAATTGTTGTTTGGTTTAATCTGCAATAATGTGTCCTATTTATAGGTTCATCAAGTTTTATATATAAACTCTTAATCTGCAAAGAAACAATAGCTATGGAATAAATGTAGAGGAAACAAGAGGGAAAGTATAAAGTATAATCACATAAAATATAAGTAACAAGTACAGCACTTGAGAATAATGTAGCAACACTGAAATCTGAAATATTGTGATGGGTATGTACTAACATTCTCCCACTGCATGGCGAGCATCTACTTAGAAAGACTTTTAAGTTATAAATGAGGAAAAAGACACTAACCTGCTGTTTGATGCTGCTGTTGACACGCTAAGTGAGTAGATAAGTCAATGAGTACGAGATGGGGACAGAGCAGTAGAACGCAGTGGGCAAAGAAGTGCCATTCTCTCCATTCCTCAACACTGAGGCTCCACTGTTTCACTCCCACTCTGCTCTCTTAATTTGGTTGATGCATGGGACACTGTGAAGTCTGAATGTGGTCTGTCTGATTACAGAGCAGATAAGTAGTGGAAGAAGCACTGAGGTCATTTAAGTAAAAGTACCAATATGACATGAAATACACAATTATAATTAAATGTATTGCATTCAAAGGTTTGCATCAACAGTAAAAGTCGCTGACATCATTGGATTGTAAGCAGCATTTTAATGTTTTATGTGACTGAGGTGAAGAAATCTTGTGAAGGAAGAGTATTAAGAAAATGGAAATGTTCAAGTACTTCCAAATTGTACTTCGGTACAGTACTTGAATAAAAAAAACTTTAATATTTTACTCAGTTAATAATAACTTCATGATAACAGAGTAAATGCAGAGGCATGAAGATTACACAGTTTTATTTTTGTATGAACAAAGGAAGGATATGATCATCAAAAGAGGGTTGTCACACACCCACAGTTTCCTCACCATGCTGTCAAGTAAAAATAATTAAAACAAAAAATATACACCTTGAGCATTACCAAATACTATGTTTCTGTAATCTTGATCCATCTAGAATAATGTTGGCACCTTGAATGAACCAGCTGGATTTATATGGTGCATGTTATTTGAATAAAATCACTACTACACCATGTTGGCACAGTGGCACTAATACTCCACATGCTTATCAGCAGCTGCCATGCTGGCATCGCCAGAGAGGTCATTAAAAACCCTCCCCACTGGCAACAAATTCATTGCACTTATGTCGTTCACTTCACTAATAAATGCACAATATAAGTGAATGTCATGATGTACTGTATGTAAAGCGATTGTCAAATTACAAAATGTATGTAAAAGTTGGCACAAGTATAAGATGGCATGAAATTTACATCACGTTCCAAACATATTTCTAAAGGGCGTCATGTCCTCCGATCACCTCACAGTCTCCTTCTATATTTAGTCTTCTTGTCTTTGTGCATTTGGTGTCATTTTAAAATTCTTCAGATCTTTACTTTTCTCTGATCTCTACAGTATAAATCTACAAAGATCAGAGAAAAGTTGGAATGATAAGACAGGACTTGCATTATCTTTTCTTCCATCTTCTTTCTCTATCTTTAAGGTATTGGCTCCCATCTCACTGTTGTCCTGGCAGCACCCCTGTCCAGATGGTCTGCCGCCTCGCCCTCTTGATCATATGAGGGCATTGCTATCGTCATCTCTGCAGTTCACACTGGCCACCAGCGGGTGATGCCGGGCTGTTTTGCTGCTCCACTTGTGGGCGTCCTGTAGCCCGGGCTCTAGGAAGTATAGGCACGCTCCGAAGCCTGCCAACACCAAAACTGACACAAGTAGGTAGAGGGGGACGAACCAGTCCAGGAACAGCCACGACATAACTGGACAAAGGGGTTGGAAGGGTGGAGGAGGAAAGGACAGAAGATGGATGAGGAGACAGGGAGGGAGGATGAGATGGAGCAAGGGAAGGAAAGCAGAGGAGAGGAGAGATTTTGGGGAAGGGTGGATGAGCAGAGTTATTTAAAAGTGATCCCTGCAGGGTGAGATGTCATGCATGACAAACTGCAGCATCTCAGTGTCCTATTATATGCAGTCATTCCTCAGAAAGCCTTCCTGCTCCCTCCATTTAAATGTAGAATATGGCACAGTAATCAAGATATTATACTAGTGACAAGGAGGCAGCACTTCTATCAGACTCAGATTTTAAATTCACAAACAGGTGTTGCATTCTAAAAATAGTGCACAGTAGTAAATAAAGGCATTGTGCTTACCTGTAGATGCTGCTGAATCAGATGGTCTTTGTGTGTTTGATGGTATGTGATTCAGAGCAGCTGAGAGTCAAACCAATCATCAGATTATCTCAAGCACTGCAGCTCCCACTGTTGCATGTGAGATGGCGAAAATCACAGGTGCTCTCTGGGAGGCACAAGAGACAGAAGCTGGATGCGGCTTCATCCTCCAGCTCCTGGCTCTGACGTTCAAAGGAGGGGTTGGGGTTGCTATGACAACACCCCTGCTGATGGCTAGGAGGATGGAGAGTGTGGGAGGGAAACTTATATAACTATAATAATTTTTTCATTGGGTAGGGGGAGTGGGATGGAGGGGGACAAGCCCTTCAGATGTCTCTAGATGCTCGCTGCCTTGCTGCGTAAAATCAATTCCACTCAATTTAACACCGAGACCATCACATAGTTTATGTGACATTGGAAGGAGGGGGGGGAATTTTTGTGTGAGCGGCTCCTCTCATATCTGCTCTGACTTACAACAGCTGCAGTATTTTATAGAGTCACTCCCATTCAGCTTCTTTCAAGACAAAAGCTGAATGTAGAGAGGATGGCCTACATAATGAAAAGTTGACAGAGGATGTCATCTTTTTTAATGACTGCCATTTTTAGCTCAGGCAGCACAAGCGTTGAAAGGCAGCTGAATTAAACAAATCAGCGGTGAAGGCCTGAAAACAGAAATGATGACATGTGATGTCCTGGTTGTATAAGTTACAGAAAGAAATCACTTTTTTTTTTTTTTTACAATGTGACATTCTATTCAGCTTTTGCATACACAGCATGTTCAGCATGTTCATCGGCTGAACATGATGTGAATCGGATGTGGTTATCATACAGTGGTTTTTGGTTTATTTATTTATAAAATTAAACTTGTTAAACTCTGCCCTGTCTTTACTTTCTTTTATCTATTTTTACTAAAATTTGATTTATCAAGTGTATCATATGATCAAACTGATTTTATTAGATTTGATATTAGATTTTTTTAAACTTATTTTGAGCTGACTTGTGTTGTACCCGGTACTTTTTACCATACTGACTCTGAGAGACGAGACAGTCCAAGTAACTTCAAAACAGTGCTGATTTATTCAAAGGATCACAAGTAAAATTAACATTACCCGCTCAGATATCTTGCACCTCCAAACTGCTTGCAGGCAGATGTAAGATGAAAAGACCCTGAACCCACCAGGTCTATACATTATATCCCTTCGGTTGGGCTAGCACCATACTACACAGAAACGTCAACCGAGACGTCTCTGTTGCCAGCCTTGCAGCTGGTCATAACAGTAGTCAAAACATGAAGTAAATCAATGTGTGTGTGTGTCTGTTGAGGTGTGTAGCTAAAAACATTCTCACGACCTCTAGTAACATGTCGTGACTTAAACATAACATATTGTGGCTAAGGCTACAGTTATACACGTCATAATAATAATATTAAACACCCTGTCTGCTGACAGTCATCAACTTTTCTCTCTAGTTATCCTTGACCAGATGTACCCTGTAGAAACTCATAAGCATGCCTAAGCATTTAACAGTCTAACTAGACATCCTATCTCCACTAAACATTTCTAATACATAAAGTATCTATCCAATATCTATCTGACTAAAAATACCTAACACTTGAGTATCTCGAGTACTGGAAGGACTGTCGTTATTATTAAAGTCTGAGAGTTATTGCCTGGTGATTTCACAGTGCACTGACTTTTATCAAGATAGAGATTGGCTCTCAAAGTTTGACTGAAGAAACATTAGAAAACAAAAACTAAAACAATAAATACATTTTTTTCAGGAAGCAAACACTAAACTATATCTGTCATGATTCTGTCCCACTGGCTTCTGGTCCCAGGCTTTTATTTTGAGATTACTTCCTGTTTGGTTCACCTCAGTTTTGGACTCTTTACATTAATCAGCTGGTATTGTTTTTACCTGCATCTCATCACCCAAATTGACAACACCTACTACACAACTAGGCAACTTCCCCACACCAGGAAGCTGCCAGATTGTTCTAGATCCCAGCTCTGACTTTTCAGCATTGTTGCTCTGCCTGATTATCTTGTTCTGATTGCTTGTTGACCACCGTGCTTGCCTTATTCCCCCCAGATTCTGATTGCCTGCTGTGTACCAACCCTCTGATATCTCCTTCCTGACCTCTCTCTTGTGGATCTCCTGGCAGTAGATGTTTTTCGGCGCTGACCTTGGACTGTATTATTGACCTGATTTTGATCCTGGACTTTGTACTGTTGTTTTGAGTGTTGCTAGTAAAAGACTATTTTTTACCACAGTTCGTCTGGCGAATATAATTGAGTTCACTACAAACACTGTTTGGCAGCTTCACCGGCAAAACCTGACAGATCATGGAAATCACTGCAAAATCAGTGCTGCCTTGCACAGAAATCACTGTAAAATGACTAAACACATTTAAACAATGCAACAAAAATACCTTAATACCAAGATGGATACAGTATTTCACTTGTACCTGTATGTGAATCTGTAAATGCCTAGTCACTAAAGTCAGTACTTTTAAATCAGCACTGATTTCATTTCAGTAATGACATTTTCAGCGGAGGTTTATACATGTAGACATGATTGTTTCAAGTCACTGATGAAATGTTATAGTAGTAGTTCAAATAGCAACATACTGTATCAGGAACAAAAAGAAAATTGCACAGTATTATGGTAATTAGTCCTGCGAGTGTACTGAGAGAGTGTGAAGTTTCATACTGAAAGTGTAGGTGTGTTATAACTTGTGAGTGTGTCCACTAGGCTGGCAGCAGCTGTGCCAAGATGCCAGTCTGCAGAAAGTCAGAAACAATGAAGCAACAACTTCAGGATTATTCAGACGGACATGATGATCGCCTGGTACTATCACCACCTTCTACTGAGAGAGAGAGAGAGAGAGAGAGAGAAAGATGAGTAAAGACATGCAAAAGAAAAAATTACTTTCATATCAGGTTCATTTGTTCTGTGATTCTGTTTTCCTTTTTTCATAAACAACTAATTAAGTTCAATTAGCAAGATTTTTCTGCCCCATGTTTTGCCTTCATTCCTCTGTTTGCTCATTTCTGGTACTTCCTTTTTGTACCATAAATACTGCAAATACTGGTGTGTTTATTTGTGTAGTCTTCATTTTGTATATTTGTTATTAGTCATACCTGTACAGTTGGATGCAATTCAATGAAACACTTCCACCTTAAAATCTGTGTTTTTGAAGTTCAAAATGTTTCCATTTTTGGTGAGACTGTCATAAATGTATAAATTCAATTACATGATTAATACTGAGGTCATATTTAAAGGTGGTGTTGTACTGGACTATATTATATTTAGAGAAGTCTATATATTTTTGTCCTCCCCAGTTACATACGTACATTAGAGGGTCAGAATAGTATGTAACTATGACTGAAACATTTTGAGCTTCATAAACACAGATGTTAAGGTGGAAGTGTGCAAGCTGGAGTCCTCTGATTGGCTGAGACTCTATTGTTACAGAAATGCTTCATTGGTTCTTTTAGAATGTGCTGTGGAGGGGTTTAGACCCTCTCTCTGGGAGCAAAACTAGGGTTTTAGATTTCATGAAGAGGATTAATATTCCTTTGTTTAAGTTAATTTTATATGGATTATATCCTTCTTTCCCACTGTAGTTGAAATACACATTTATAAGAAATGAATGTAGGATAAATCAAATTTAAACACGAAATCTAAGCAACACAGTCTAACATTAAAAGCATAAATAAACATACTATCAAGAAGACAAAGAGAGTTTACAAGAGAGTTAAAACATATCACAGCCAATTGGTCATTAGCACTGTTAGTTATAAAATAATTTTCTACACTGTCAATTTGTCACAATGAATAGCATAACTGTTGTTTACAAAGGCTGCTTCACCAGATATGTAGCATCCACTTTCAATCACAGGGTGTCACTAGTGATCTATCTGAAGTTAGTTAAGGACACCTTGGTCTTTCTATCTGCATTTGAATAGGCTTTGGTACAATAGGTAGGGTTATACCAGACTTCATAAATCAACTGTAATCTTTTTAAACAGTTTACACACTTTAGAAATGAAAATACTAAGAAAGGAATTTACTGTAGTCAGACTCTGGAAGGAAGTCTCTCTCTGCATTCCATAGGACTGTTCCCTTTGGAAGAATCAAATAAGGAATTAGATAAAAGGGGGTAATGTCTTGAGTTAACTCAAACATATTGTCTGAGTTCAGAGGTGTGAAGTCAAAGAATGTATATTTCACCATTCAAATTGAAAGGGAGTCTTGGAGTCAAAAAGTCTGGCTAGAGTTTTACTATCAGCGCTGACATCAGTGTAAATGAGTGTGAGAAGCTGCATGAAGCTGTCTTTAGATTAAGTTTATTGGCCAAGTATTTTACATACACACATGGAATCTGTGGCCAATAAAGAACCAAGGCAGCCATCTAGAACAAAGGAAAGAAGAAGCAGGTTCTGGGTTTGGGGGTGGGGGAGGCATGGTTATTCTGAGTTCCTCAGAATAAAGCAACTCCTTCCAAGGTGGATTCCTGTCTCGGTGATGTTACACAGGACTGTCACACACACTAAATAACTTCACGTCACACGAATGATTACTGTCTGTACATGTACTTAACACTGTAACACATTAAATCATTGGAATAAACTTCCCAGCAGCTATTCTAATCAAGCTCACATTTCTGTCACAAGAGCCTTGAAGAACTGCAGAGAAACATTTTTATTGGCTTGAATCTGCTGCACCAAAGCCTTTGTCTGCTCTATAATTTAGAACATCTTAGTTTGTGTGTGCTGACGATTTTATAATCCAGATGAAGTTATTGTATCAGGGACATGGGAACATTATAATAATTTGTGATATTTTAATGCAGATATGCATGGCATTGTTACAGCCACAATTTTATCAGATCTGCGAACAAGCAATCTCTTATCTAGTGCGCCCACATGTGACCTTACCTTTAATTGGGCAGATAAAATATTACTCAGGCATGTTGCTATAATTTAACACTCCATACAACTAGGGTGGTTTCTATTTTTTGAAAGTATGGGTTTTATTCCAGATGTAAGGGAGTGGCAGAGGGAGAGACACATTTAATATTTAATGTAACATTATCCAAAAGGCTTTGCTGAACAAAGTCAAATCCAGCAACACTGGCTGCTCCTCAATGCCCTTGTTAGAGCGTTGTCTGTAGTTACTGTTTTTATTGTGCCTG